ACAAGGTCCGCCTGTCTCCCAGTTGTGCAATTCCCCCCCCCCCCTTCTTTGATCCTCCATTATTACCGTGGAATCTTCTTCAAGGCGACTATTCAATGATTCCAGAATTACACACTACAAAATACCAAAGTGGTTCAATTTGTTAGTTTATGGGTTAATGCGTGCAATGAACGCGCTATCGTGATATTACATACAATTAACCACAAATAAAATCGGAAGCTCATTGGTTAACTTAGTAAATATCTAAACGTTTCGTCCTATTCGGATTTACTCAAAAAAAGCATTTGCTACAGTATCTGTCAAGTGAACGTAGTTTCAGTGCAGTGGGCGAGGTTTCGCATGTATGCGCATGTGGACGAGATGCTGGCCGGGTCTACGGGGATAATGTGCAGAAATAGCAGATCAGAAGAAATTCGCAAAAGTGTAAGGTTAGATAACCTGGATTCGTGCGGTGCGAACGAAGTAGTGACCTTTACTGTGCGTGAAAGACAAGCGGAACTTATAAGGTTTATTGAAATGTTGAAAATAATGAACAGAATGTTTGGAAAGATCACTGGAATCGGAGACACGGAGGCGAGTCGTTGTTGGCAAACTCAAGGATCGAATACAAGACCACAGTCGGGTACACGGCGCGAACTATTCTTTAGAACAAGCCACAAAGGCTTCCTACGTTGAGCCACTGAGGCTCTTTCAACTCACTGCCACTAAGGTTTCTGATAACCAGCCACTTAGGCTCAACTCTCTCAGCCACTTAGGCTCAACTCCCTCAGCCACTAAGGCTCAACTCCCTCAGCCACTAAGGCTATCTCTCGCTCTCCTCTATCGAGCTTTGGCCCTCCTTCTTACGGGCCCCTGCGGCTCCTAACCGCACTTACCACTCTGGCTCCTGAACCCCTTTTATAGGTGCATTCCCGCCCGAACCGTTTCCCTCTGGCAAGGTGGTCTCCTATGACCCCGCGCGATCGACAACCACAGCCTCCTCCTCGACCTACCGTGCTCAAACCAGCTGATCATAGCTGGCGTCTTGAGGCAGGCATGCCTTTCCCTAACAATTTAGAACAAAACAGCATTGGACGGAGTGGCAGAGTCTGCAAGGTGGGCATGGTTATAGAGGTGGTGTACCCCCAGGAGGCACCGTCGCGCGACAAGAAGGCAAGTTAGCGGACGAGTTCCGTGCGTACTGTAGGGATTTCGCGTCAAGTAAAATAGAATGTTCCATTGTATGCTACGCGATCGTCTCACGACGCTGCGACTTCGTCCGCGACTCTATATCGTTCTGCCGCGCGAAAGCGGACTCCTGGGTAATCATAATAGGTGTCCTGCAAGCTCCACAAAGATCTGCTAATCATTTCACCATACCCACTCGCACTGTCATACAGAACGAGATTCTCTACAAAAATACAAGAGCAGATACCTAACATACAAACCTCAAAAAAGATAACCCTCAGGATTGCGGCCGAAAATTAGAAGTGAAGGTTGGTGTTGAGAATTGTCGAAATGATTTTTGTCTACCGAGCAGTTACCCGGCACATAAACTGTCAGCATGACACGAGAAGTTTCCGAGGGATACGTACTGAAGCCCATTCAATGCACGAAGGGTCTGTCTGAATCTGCTCCCCTATCCTCTTACTAGAAACTGATACGAATCGACTACCTTCTGGATGGAGGGAATCTTTCGGTTTAGGGAGCTTTCCGGCCTTGCGACGCGCTAGCGACTCGCGCGTTTCGCTAGCGATGGGTCGCGAATAGTCTGCACTTTTTGCCTTGACGTGGGATTCCGATCTCAACGTACTGCGTTTCTATGGCTAACACTGAAGACGTCCGCACTCTTTCACCATTAGTCATTCTCTTGAAGGGTCCTCAGAAATTCCTCCGTTACGGTGTCACCAATTGAAATGAATCCAAATCGGATCGTCGATAATGGATGAACGAAGGATTATAGAAAGGTACTCAAGGTAATTGTTTTTGGTTAACTGTTATTTGCTGCACAGTGGCGTGCGAACTGTCAGGAGATGTGATAAGTGAAGCACTTGCCTTAAGGCCGCGTCTTCAAATTCAATCCCGTGGTGCCAACGTGCACGTGTGTGGTACTTTTTCCGTAAAATTACTCAGGTGGCTGCTCTCTATAATATATCTTTCATGCATTAGCAAGCTTGTCACTTTCCTCGCGGTTTGATCTGTAATTTGAACTAAGCTTGTGCAGTGTTCAACGCGGATCCAGGTAACCGGAAACGGGGGAATTGACAACACCTCAGAGACCTTGAGCGTGGTTCAGGTGCTCTCAATGACGTTGAGTCAATTTTTTCGAGTCCACTGGGCAAAATAAGTAAAGAATTGTGGATTCGCGTCCATGTAGAGAAAATGTCAGAATTTTGTCGACTCCAAAAAACATTTTCTGCGTAATGTTGTTTACCATCAGAAGTAATTAAAGGCCCAGTCCTTTTCAGAATATATTATTCGTCTAGTTGTATACAAAGTTAGTTAGTTACTTAGTTGTACAGTTTGTAAGTGTTCGGTGTTGCGCAAAAAAAAAACAAGGTGACAGTTGGGATTACCAGAAATAAATCTCAAATTTGGACTTGATTTGAGAGTACTGTGCGGATTTTTGTCAAGGAATTTTCGCATCGGAAGGTGCTGTAGTTGCTGAGCAGGACCTCCGCAGCATTCCGTCTCCAGCAGCGATAAGCCGAATGATTCTGTTCTGCCGAATGGATTGACATGCCGAACGATTGGTTCAGATGATGACTTGGGCGACTGTCTTGCTGTTGGCTTTTCATTTTGGATGATCATTTCCCTTCTAGCGGCTGTATCTTCCAACTTGCCCATGTAATGCCTTATCAATCAAAACACTATGCTTGTTGGCATGATGGCGGCTATCGGGGTTAACACGTCCGAACAACGTCGTTCTTTACCGTCGCTCATCCATGGTCGAAAATGAAAGGGCAATCAAAGGGGTACTATTTTGCTTATTTTTGACGGATTTCTTTGCTTTTTTCGCCATTGGCGTACTATTGAGACCCCCACGTCCCCTCTAAACCCCTTTGAGATCTATCGTAATCGCTGCCTTTAACTACTCGGTACACAAAATTACGTTAGCAGTTCTCGACCACCAACCTTCACTTCTAAACTTCGGCCGCAATCCTACGGATTATCTTTTTTAAGGTTTGTATTTGGGTATTTGTCTTTATTTTGTAGAGAATCTCTTCTACTGAAGCACTCATGGTGGAATGATTTAGCAGATCTTCTGGGAGCTTGCAGACACTGTTGTAACCCGCCCACCTTGCGAACTCTGCCCACACCGTCACACGCTTTTTGTTCTCTTGCGAATTTCTTCTAATCGCTAATTTCGCACATTATCTTCCATAGACTACGACCAGCATCTCCTCCACATGCGCATACAAGGTTACCCCGCCTACTACACAAACTACGTTCATGTGTCATGTTCAGCGCGTCCATTGCACGCATTAACCCATAAACTAACAAATAGAACCTTTCTGGTAACTTGTAGTATGTAATTCTGGAATCATTAAATAGTCGCCTTGAAGAAGGATTCCACGATAAGAACGAAGGTCAAAGAAGGGGAAAATTGCATAGTTGGGAGACAGGCGGACCTCCTGAGGGTGCTGACCGACGCGCAATTGGCAGCGAAAGATTTGACCTCGGCGATCTAGCATGGCTCACTCTTGGCGCGGTTGGCGGGTACGCCCACCGACTATCTAATCACTCGCCGCAGGTCTATACGTGGCGAGTGATTAGATAGCAGAGAGAGCGTAGTGTTGAAGAGGGCACAGCGATGAGAGTCGCATCAATGCGCAAATCAACGGCTGTTTCAATGGTTTCTTCTTCATCCTGCTCCACTGACCCCCTTTACCCTTATTTCCAACGAGCTTTCATCGTAAATCTACCTTTAAGCGGTGTCGATCGGTATCATAGTTATCGATATTTTGCACTTCCTCATACCTTCAAGAAAACTATAATTAGTTCAGCAATCCAACACCTCAAC